TTTGCATTCGCCGTCAAACCAGTCATTTCTTCGGTCCGGGATTGCAGTACCTAGTGCCGCTGCAGCAGTACTACCTATGGCTGAACGGATGTCCCTCCAGCCATCTTCAAGAGAAGCTGCGCCAAGCTGCTCTTCCGTGGGTAGTGCAACTTCCAGCTGCTGCGCGTAGTCCTGGGCAACTCCGGTGTCCCGTAGTTGCTCAATGTTGGGTCGTGGCGTTCGACTTCGACGTGTGTTATGCACCGTCGAGAGTTTTGAGCGCATGCATACTGCAACTAGGTAGTGGTCCGAATCTATGTTCGCACTGCGGTACGTGCGGACGTTGATAATGTCGGAGAAGAATTTCCCGTCGATTAGAACGTGATCGATTTGGTTTTCTGTGTGTTGGTCAGGTGATCTCCAGGTGGCTTTGTGGATATCCTTGCGGGGGAAAAAGGTACCCCGGGAGGCTGCAAAGTTCACGCATCGTTGGCCGTTGTCGTTCGATACGGCATGCAGGCTGTTTGGCCCGATTGCCGGTCTATACATTGCCTCCCGTCCTACCTGAGCGTTCATGTCGCCGATGACGATTTTGACGTCCCGTTGCGAACAGCCGTCGTACACCTGCTCCAGCTGCGCATAGAACGCTTCTTTCTCGTCGTCGGGTCTCCCTTCGTGTGGGCAGTGCACGTTGATGATGCTGTAGTTGAAGAAACGGCCCTTAATCCTCAACTTGCACATCCTCGCGTTGATCGGCTGCCAACCAATCACGCGTTGGCGCATCTTACCCAGCACTACAAAGCCGGTTCCCAGCTCGTTGGTGGTGCCACAGCTCTGGTAGAAAGTAGCCGCTCGATGCCCGCTTTTCCATACCTTTTGTCCCGTCCAGCAAAGTTCCTGCAGTGCTACGACTTCGAAGTTGCGTGGTTGAAGTTCGTCATAGATTAACCTATCGCAACCCGGGAAGCCGAGCGATTTGCAGTTCCATGTTCCGAGTTTCCAATCGTAGTCCTTATTTTGTCGCGTAGGTCTGTGCCGATTGTTCCGATCCGTATTTCTTTCTTCGGTATTTGCAACTTTGTTTTTTTCCAGGGCGGCTTGTTGGGCCTGCCCCAACCCCCTGTCTCGCCGGGGGACCATCGTGCACAGCTCTGTTTAGAGTCCCACGCTGGCACTAGGACGGTGATCAGCCGCTCCTAACATGGAGAACAGACGCCGTTTTGAGCCGCACCTCCATGGTGAGCAGACGCTCAGGTTTGGTGAAGCATTTCCTCTATCACCGTACTATGGTTACCGCGCCAGTGTTCGCGTCGCACCTCTTCACTTTGCTATTGCCGGACTGGCAACATTGCCCAGGCTACGCCAACCAGCTGTGTCCATGTTTCAGCTGGTAGTCTTTTGTTATCATATGACTCGAGGAGGCGTGAAGTAGGAACTTGTGAGGACCAGGGCTAGGTATTCCGCTCCTTCCAGGTTGTCAACTCACCATTTTGTAGCCCAATGAAAAATGGCGTTCAGCATCAAATAAGGTTGATACAACAGCGGTACAAAATCTAATGGATGGTATGAAACGTAAAGCCCGACAGTTCGCATTTGAAAAGTTGGAAGCTCAATACAGTAATATCAACTGGTGGAAACTATTGATTTTAAATTGGCTCACACTGGTCTAGCCTATTAGCATAGACTGAAAACTTACTAGCTCCGTTTTGAGATATCAATATTTGAAAGAAGCAAGTTTTTCTTCAAACATCAATTATAACTTTTCAACATAAAGAGATAACAACTTTTTTGCTTGAACAAAACTGTGCACCATAAACAGTTCTCAAAGATATTAAGATATTACCATAGAGGTATCTCTAAGACTAAAAGGTCCCGAAGAAACGAGCTCAACTTTTTGGCTCAGCTCTGGTACTATCTTCGGTCCCAAGCTAATCGATTCACCCCTCGAAACATAGGAAAATCCACGAACCTCTGATTTTATCTGTCAAACTTTCATAGCAAATCAAAACAAGCATAGTGTAGTACTGGCATTTATACTAGAATCGGGTACGTTAAACGATTTGCTTGTGACCAATAGGCTAGTCAAGTAGTGAGCCAATTTAAAATCGTTAGTTTCGTATTGATTGTTGCTATTAGTGCCAAGTGCATCGATTAACGTATCCCATTCTAGTTGGAATTCTAGTACTACACTATGTTTGTTTTGATTCACTATGAAAGTTTGACAGATAAAATGAGGGGTTAGTGGATTTGCCTAAGTTTCGAGGGGTGAATCGATTAGCTTGGGACCGAAGATAGTACCAGAGCTGAGCCAAAAAGTTGAGCACGTTTCTTCGGGACCTTCTGGTCTTAGAGCTACCTCTATGGTAATATCATAGAGGTAACTCTAAGACCAGAAGGTCCCGAAGAAACGAGCTCAAGTTTTTGGCTCAGCTCTGGTACTATCTTCGGTCCCAAGCTAATCGATTCACCCCTCGAAACTTAGGCAAATCCACTAACCCCTCATTTTATCTGTCAAACTTTCATAGCGAATCACAACAAACATAGTGTAGTACTAGAATTTTGACTAGAGTGGGGTACGTTAATCGTTTGCTTGGGACCAATAGGCTAGTCAAGTAGTGAGCCAATTTGAAATCGTTAGTTTCGTATTGATTGTTGGTAATATCTTAAAATCTTTTAGAACTGTTTATGGTGCACAGTTTTGTTCAAGCAACAAAGTTGCTATCTCTTTATGTTGAAAAGTTATAATTGATGTTTGAAGAAAAAAATGCTTCTTTAAAATATTGATATCTCAAAACGGAGCTAGTAAGTTTTCATGGGGTTGATTTCATTTAACACGATGTCTCCGGTAAAATGTGTAACGGCAAACTTGCAATGTTTGAAAAATCAGTTTAGAACGTGAACCGAAAGAGATAGAAACTTTCTTTCTTCGGCAAAGTTGCTTCAAATAAATAGCTCTACAGTTATGTCAAACACTGTGTTGGACTATCTCATATGATGGGAAAGTTAATATTGCGAACGTAACAATCATGGGGCCCACCCTATTTGCAATTTGAAATTTGCAGTAGTGCGAGCCACCCACAAAGAACGGCTGGGAATTTTCGGACAAACCACCAAACGCACCGCAATATTTATCATGTATATATTCATATATATTCATAACATATCATTATTCATATTTTTAATATTTTATCCATTATTTTTTGTTTGTAATAATTATTAGTAGATTTTCTTCCGGTTTTCCTCCTCTTCTGCTTCCCTCTGTTGTTGTTGTTTTTTTTTTTAATTTGGTTTTCGTTTTGCTTCTTTTCAATCGTCGTGCAGAGTTGTTTGTGTGTGTGTATGTTTTTTTCTTGATTTTCTTCGCCCCCCAAACTGTGTCAAACTGCACTGCTTACTGCTGCTGCATTTGTCTGTTTACGTGTGTATGTGTTTGTGTGTGTCAATTGATTATTTTCGCTTCCATTGTGTGCTTGTTAGTTGGTGAGAGTGTACGCGAATTTTTTGTTGTTGTTGTTGTTGTTGTTGTTGCTTTCCCCTGTTTCTGTTTGTTGTTTTACACTATACACATACATGTCCGTGTTGCGCCCAACGCGTGCCGTTTTGTTTACATGTTCAATTTCGTCGTTCGCGTCTCTTCCTCTTATTAATTGTGGCAGTGGTGGAATCAGAGTATTTTATTTTTTCTTCACGCTTTTCTCTTATTCTTCTTATTCTTGCTTTATTTTTATTTTTGTTGGTTTCGCATTGATAAACGCAAATACTTATGTTTGTTGTTTGTTTACTGTTTATATGTTTTCGTTCGATTTTACTCTAATCTCCCATGAACGGGTGCGTGAATGTGTATGTGTGTGAGTGTGTGTGTGTGTTTGTTTGGTTGAATGAGTGTGACAAATGATCGCGCATTCCGTTGTTCGTATTTTCTTTGTTTTATTGTGTATTAGGGATGGCTGTCCTCTATACTTATTGGTACAATGTTGATGCTGTCGGATTTTGCTTAACACTTAGCTTTTCGGTTGTTTTTGGGCGATTGTTATTCTGCTTTGCCTTTGTTTACATGCATATTTATATGATTTGAAAGGGGGGATATTACGCAGTGTGGAGCGAGTGACTTTTTTTTTACAGCAGAGAGAAAATCAGTTTTGTGAGTGTTTTTTTTTTGTGAAGTACAGGAAAGAGCTGAAATCATTTTTTTTTCGGATGATATACGTTTTGGTTGTCTTTATCTTACTTTTTCAATATGTGTTTGTGGGTGTGTTTGTGAAATTGTTTCGCATCAATGAACGATATAATGAAATTCGATTTGTTGTTTGTGTTTTCTTCCGCTATGGCTGTGTAAGTTTGCTTTTTTTCAGTGATTACATAAGACTATTTTGTTCGATTTTTGTAGTTTTTTGGTTTGTTTAATGTTTGGGTTTTTAAGAAAGGGAACATTTTAGGGGAAGGTAGTTTGATTTTTGACTCTTATTCTTGAATAAATAATCAACAATAAAGACGGTTTTTTATGTAGTAAATATTTGACGTTTTTTTTTCTTAGAGAAAAACATAAACAATGGAAAAGGAAGGAGTTTTTGGTTTGTTTATCTTCGATAAAGAATACAGGAGAGGATCAACAATTAGTATCATTTATTTTGAATACAATTAGACGAATGTATTTTTTTTTTTACGTTTCACGGTTCGGTGATGTCAGAAAACCGTTTTCCCTAGTGGGATGTTCTTGATGCAGTTTTTGTTTCTCAACGGGGCGCTTGCTTTTTCTGCTTTTTTTTCGCGGATTTACTATTTAATTTTTTGCGTGTATATTCAATGATGGTTGCAATTTTTTATTCTAGCATTTTGTGTGTGTGTGTTTATCTTTAATTACAAAGTGTGTTTTTCCTTCTATTTAGTTGGTTTCATATTGCAATGATATTTCAGTGTTCTACTTTCTGTAAATTCCATTTTCATTAATTCATAAACCGCTTTTTCCCTACTCCAAATTCGCTACGCAAACAAAACAAACGTTTGGTTAACAAAACCATAAGTCATAAATGTGCCAGCAAAAACGTCAAAAGCCAATCGAAAACTGTGAAGTACAGATGGCGTAAAAGGTGACGACGTGCGCGTGTGTGTGTGAGAGAGTGAAGCCATGGCAAACTGCTGTGATTTTTACATGGCCATCTTGCTCTATATCGGAAAATGAAAGGTTAGTTCATGAACTACTTCTTCCTTCCTTCTTCGCACGTACCATTATCAAAAGCTAGTGGTTGTTTTATTTTATTTTTGCGAATGGGTTTATGTAAGTGTGTGTGTGTGTTTTTGCCACATTAACATGTTCGTTCTAATTTTTTGAGTTTATTTTTTAGTTTTCTTTTCCTTAGCATTTAAAATCTATTACACGATAAACAAAATTCGAACGAAACGAATTAAAAAGGAAACATGCGTTCGAAAATAATTCCAATCAACATATTTACACTAAAACGTGTGTGTGAATGAGTGAGTGTGGTTTTTTCTTCATGTAGGAGTAATAATTTCCTCTTCCAAAGAACTGATTCAAGGTTTGTTCATGAATTGTCCTATTTTTTTGAATTTCCTTTAAAATTAACTAATTATAGGCTACGGCTTCCTTCCTCCCCCAAATGACTAGTTTACTCAGCTTCAATATATAAAATTCCCCTTTCCTCTCTTGTATTAATTTCCCCTTTCCTTGATTACTCTCCAATAACGTTTACTATAGTACAGCTACTCAGTTGTCTCCATCCGTCTTCCCCGTTTTTTTTTTATTTATTAGAATTAATACTTGTTTTGCTTTGTTTTCTAATAACTGTTTTTTTTGCTTGTCATATTCGTGCAGCGTTCAGTGTCTCTCGTTTCGGGAAAAAGTCCTGATTATTTACTGGTTTTTGTCAACTACACTTAATCCTCGTCCACATCCTATGTGTAGTTTATCTGTGTATATTACAATTAATCATAAGACGACTTGAAAAAACCGATACAAGTTAGTCTGCTTCCGCTGTGTGTTTGCTGATTCGCGAACCAAAATACAGGTGGCGGTTTTGCTCAGTGTGGTCGGTTTAGGTGCCTGTCGCTGTGTGTGGGTGTGTGTGTGTGTGTGTGTGTTTGTTTGTGTAACTGTCAGCGCCGCCGTGGTGCGGTGTAGAAAAGCTTGCTTCGATCGATTTGTTTGTCGCTCAAAAAATTAGTCTGCGCATTTGGTTTTTCGATTGTTTTCGGATTTTCCTTCTTGTTTGTAAAATCATTCGAAAAAAAAGTAAAAAGCTTTTGCCATTGATTTGGTTTCGGTTGTTTACGTTAGAATTGGTTGTTGTTTTTGTTGTTGTGTGTGTTGTAGAGAAGAAACAGAAACAGTGTGCGCAAAGAGTGCAGTTGTGGGTGGAAATTTTCCGTTCGAATTCAAAAGATTGTGATTTACTTTAGAGAGAGTGTAAATTGATATCAAAAAATATTTGTTTTTAGGTTGTTCGCTTTAAACTCATGTCAGCGTGTGTATGTTTGTGATGTACGTGTTTGTGTGAGTGTATGGGCGTGTAGTTTCTCTTTAGTTTTACTCATTTTAATAATGTCCATCGTATGATATGCTTCATGTTAGTATTTCAACTTTTCTCTATCGCAAATTATCCGATTATCTTGTTATCATTTTTTTTTGTTCTAGGATTTCTTAAAATAAAGCGTGTGACTGTCTCACACTTTCTTTCATCGCTACTGCGTGGCGGGGCGTACCTTGGGCTTGGTAAGAATTAAGTTATTATGAATGGTTGAAATTATTCGTGTGTTCGATGAAGGCATTCTTCCAGAAATGACAGTGAGATGGCGCTTTCGAACGGATGTCAAAGCAAAAACGTTGAACTGAAAGGAACAGGACACTTGTTGTAGCGATAAAAAGGTAATTGTTTCTTTATCTCATTGTTTGTGATCGGCATTTTTTCAATGACGATGCCTTCTTTTGTATTTTTTTCTAGTTAGATTCACGCCAAGGAATAAACTGAAACCACTGAGAAACCAGATCAAGAGGTTATGAAGCCCAATTCGCTCGACTTCAAAGTGCAATTTTTAGTATTTTTAAATAACAGTGCATCTGTCAGTGGTGAGTTCTGTCAACTTGGGCTTACCGATCTCGATGGATTTTCTTATTGGAGGAACAGCCACGTGGATAATCTTGCCGTGAAGGTAGGTATGATTGCATAGCTGTTCAAACCTTAAAATGGGTAGCATTTATTATTGAACTACTTCGCGAGTTCAAACTATCGACATTCAGTCCTTTTAGAACACGCGTAAGTTTATTTCCATCCCACGATGATTCGGATGTAAATGTTCGATCTGAGCAGCCAAAATCCGGACTGATTCTGATGACACGCAAGATGACTTAACTTCCACGAGAAGTTAGAAGTGGACTTACTAGTTCAATGAAATGATGAAATGTTAGGACAATTCCGATGAAATCAATTGATAAGTTTGGAGAAATTCAAAATAATCGATTGAGATACGAGAGGCTACCATGAATCTATTTACTGCAAGTCCAAAATCAAGCTCCGTCATCCTCCGGTTGACCGAGATCTGATCGCCAACAGCAGCAGAATGGAGCCTTTGAAAAGGCCAACTAGGAAGAAATGTCTTAATTTTGAACACATTTGGAATTCTGTGAAGACATTTTTATGCCGCAGACATTTTGAAGACGTTTAACATTTGTGACGGTATGCTGAAATTGACGACTTTTTTCTTATATTTCAAGCTATTTTCTGAACACGTTGATTATAGATAACGTAAACCAAACCAGTTCTTTTTTTTTCAAAGCAATATTAAGTTTTCTATGAATATTTAGACTTTCTCGACGAAATGTCGAAGCTGCCAAAATCTTCCATGGCTTTTAGAACTCTTACCATTTCAGCTTTTCCTTGGCGTTTTCGCAAACGCGCAAACGAATTCACCAGCTGGTTTTGTTGTGTAAACATGATCAGGTGGAAGCATGCGAACAAAGGAGTCAAACGATAACACTTCCAAAGAAGTTTTATTGAAAGCAAGCGTTATCGAAAGCGAAACATGAGCTTGACAATGCTTGATGAATCAGAAGTCTTGACGCAACAATAATCCACAGGGTTTTAATTAAATCTTCGTTTAATTCGAGATTTGAGTCTGTCTGACCACCCTGACATCTTGGGAGAATATATGCAGGAGGCCATTCGAATTTTCAGATCTTCATCTTCATCAACTTTATTGAAATTTTTGATCTGCTGGAGATCATTGATTGATCAACCAGCAATCTTGGGAAAGTATCTAAGATATTCAATATATATTTTTGAAGAGTTGATGATCTTCTGAATAATATTTGATCAATCTGAAGTCTTGAAAAAGGACTTAACTGAAATCTTTGATCTGCTGGAGATCTTTTGAATAGGGGAAATGCAGGTAATGTCGGCCTAAGTGTCCCTAATTTGGGCCCATACATAAATTCAGCAATCGACTACATTTTCAATAGCAACCAAAAATATCCATTAGTAACGTCCCAATAACGCGTTCATCTAGATAAAATTGATAAATAGCAGACTTTTAGCGATGGGCCCAATCTTAGATCCATAGGCCAACATTAGAGACATTTCCCCTACTTCAACTATTTTAAAGAATATCTGAGATTAGACATTTGAATTGATCAATTTGATGTACTGAAAAATAGGAAGAGGATTTTATTTATGTCTTATCAAAAATCCCTCAAATATCAACCAAGCACTCTAAAATTCTACGAAGCCACCTGTACTTCCATGAAGCTGATTTCCGATCTCTCGAGCTTATCCAAATTTTCCTTATCCTCTATGAATTTTCCTGAAATTGGCGACAACGCTCTGATGAGACAACGAAACCCCACCCCCACTAGCTCCTCCCCTGATTCTATCCATCAACAATGTACCCCTCTAACCTCGAGTAAGCCGCGAGTATTGGGCTCAACTCCTACTGGACATAGAATTAAGTGAATTTTGTTACAAACAATGAACAATGAATTGTTGGCTCCGTAAGGTAACGTGATTGAGCCTTCCAAATAAACGAACTAGATAAAACAAAGTGTCCTGAAATGGTGAAAAGTTCCGCGAACGATTTTTTGAGTTCCAAGTTCGCTTGATTCTACCGACATCTCAGAGCATCTACGAACTTCTCTGATCTTCAGAAAATACCCTTGAGTTTTTCTACGGATATTCCTGGACATCTGGGAAGTTCCCTGCCATTAAATGAAGCTAAAAATAAAATCTTGTACGTTCATTGAGTTTTTTTTTAATTGATTCGAAGTTCGCTAAAGTGATACGAAGATCCCTAAAGTTCTCAACTTCAGAAAATACCCTTAAGCTTTTCTACGAATATTCCTGAACATCTGGGAAGTTCCCTGAGATGAAATGAAGTTCCTAAACAACTTCCAGAAAGTTCATTGATTTGTTTTGAATCGAAGCAGTTCCCTAAAGAGATCCGAAAATCCTTGAAGTTCTCAACTTCAGAAAATACCCTCAGGCTTTTCCACGAGTATTCCTGAACACCTGGGAAGTTCCCTGAAATGAAATGAAGTTTAAAAAAAATCCAGCAAGTTCATTTAGTTTTTTTGAAGTGCTTCGAAGATCGCTAAAGTGATCCGAAAATCCTTAAAGTTCTCAACTTCATAAAATAACCTCAGGCTGTTCTACGAATATTCCTGAACATCGGTTAAGTTCCCTAATACAGGCTTCGTGGAGGGGTCCCCTGTCGGCAATAGTGTCATCACAGACAAACAGACGTAACTCTTCATTGTGTATCTTCGTTCATGCATTTAACGGTTGATTTGAATATACTCAGTTCCGCGAACTACTCGCCGCAGCGCTGGCATCGGATCACTTTGACGTTTCTATCCATTCTGTAGAACTTTTATGCAATATTGTTTGCGAGCTAGCGAGCAAGCTTGTTTTCCGCGAGAAGCCCGAGGGATGTCGTTACTGAGGTCATATGTTTTGAGACACTATGTTTTCAAGAAAAACTTTTTCAAAGAGTTACGTCTGTTTGTCTGTGGTGTCATGTTCAGTTCGATTAAATTGCATCGAAGAGGTCGGCTTCTCGGAGGAAACCTTCGAGGGCCGCGGTTCTGGCCGGGTCATCCGCTAAGGCATCCCGAATGCTTTCGGCAATGCCGTATATCTAGCATGCGTGGGCCCTCGTATTGAGGGCAGTGGCAGGGGGCATGTCTGACGAAGTGGTGTACTTTGCAGACCTCGCATATCTTTAGAAAAGGGCCGGTGTCAGATAAATTGTGCGATATGCGGGTGTGTCCTGTTCTCAATCTTGAGAGTTTCACCTGCATTAGATGGTTCTTAGGGTCCTCCCATCGAACGATATCTCCTTTAACCTTCCAGATGAAAGGTTCTCTAGCGTCGTTCTGGGGGGGAGGGGGGCATACCTTTGGATGCCTGAAACGAGGGCTTCCACAACACTAACCGAGTCGTCGAAAACTGTGATCGGGTTGTCGGAGGGGGTTGCTGCAGCAATAAAGGCGGCAGCAGCTTCTGCCGAGAAGATGGAGCATTGAATTGGAAAGTTTTAGCACTAGCTGCGGTCCTGTTACCCGTATACCAACACCCATCCGGGTGACTGAGCCATCGCAGGTATGATGTTTATATTTTTCGTTTTGAAGCTGGAGCAGGCCTTGAACCTGTTCTTGATGGAATAATCAGTCCGAGTTTTTGGTAGGTTCCAACCTCTGACTACGTCCCAGAAAACCCTGCTCACTGCAGGGAGTTCTTGGCCGTTTCGTGCCGGAAGACCCTTGATCGATGGTTACCCACAATGACCTAGAAGGTCCGCCCAAGAAGAAAGTTTTTAAGGATGTACATAACAGATGGGGTACTCCCTGCCCAGCACTAATGAGACCCCCCTCTACACTACCTCAAGGTCGGCATACGCGCTCGAATATCGCGGCCAAGGAAACACTCAAATATCCAACACACACAACACTTGTTTAGCTACCGGTACCTTTATTCTTCCCACTTTCTTATTGGCTATCTCCTACCTCGTTTCGCCTAACGTTTCTTCTTGTTCTTCAGCGCGGGCCCGCTGTTGGTCCTTCCACAGCCACTCCTTCACCTTCCTCAGCTTCCTTCTGGGCACTTTTCACAGTCCAGTCGGCTCCTTTCCTGCGACTTTGAACCCTCGACTTGGTTCGCAAGCCGGTCGCGTACTTCGGTACTTTCCGCGACGGCTCTTCGATCTCTCTCTCTCTCTCTCCTCACTATACTCGTGGCGTCTAACGATCGATGGACCGTTGGTTTGTATTCCCAGATACCTTCGTATCGGAAGATGCTCCGTGTCTAACCACACCGTGGATGAATTTCCAGTGGTAAACTACGGGGTCCTGTGGACATAATGGGGAATCACGATGGCGGTTATTGGCGATCGAGAAGGTGCTTCTCTCGAAGGGGATTTAACCTGGATGGTTCTGCACCTCACTCTCCTTCTTCACTTTTTTCACGTCCTCACGGTTCTTACTGACTTTCGAACTAACTTGAACTTGCTTTACAAAGTATCGCTGTTGAGTATCGCCAATCAAATGATTCTCAACGATGGCGGCTGACCTATTCTCTCTCCTCCTCGATGAGCCATCGTCCTTCCGCCCTATTTCGTCTCATCATGGCCCCAT